TGGCCCTTTTCCAGTCCTCTGGCACCTCGCCAGAGCACCACAAGTGCTCGTAAAGCCGTGCCAGGGGTCCTGCAATGACCTCTGCTAATTCCCTCGGCACCCTGGGGTGGAGATCATCAGGACCAGCTGATTTAAATACGTCCAGTCCCTCCAGAAGTTCCCTGACTAGGTCCTCATGGACCCTGGGCCCGGCTGCGCCTCCCCTGGGACCATCGGGGAGGATTCCTGGTGGGGGGTGGGGATGACCTGGTCCCTGCTCAGAAAAATGGAGGCAAAGAAATTGTTAAAGAGGTTAGAGCTTTGTCATCTGGTGAGACCACCAGATTTCCACGTGTGTCCCACAGAGGCCCCATGTTACCCGGAACCTTCTTTTCACCCCCTATGCATTTAAAAAAGGATTTCTTGTTATCCTTGATCCGGGTCGCTAGTCCCAGTCCCATCTCCACCTTGGCCTTCCTGACCGCCCCCAGCAATGGAGGTGTAGTCCTCCCTGGTGATGGCCCCTCCTTGCCATCGGGTGTACGCCTCCTTCTTAGCTTTGAGACGTTCCTGGATGCTTTTGGCGAGCCAGGGGGCCTTTTGAGCACGTCCACTCAAAATATAGATTGGTACAAAAACAGCAACATTTTAAAATCTCATTAATTTTAAAGGCATTGCAATTGTTTGAGCTTGACTCATGAATGCTGATGGCTTTGAGTTGAAGATACTGAAATTCATTGACCATCAACACCCTTTAGAAAAAAGGAGCGATTTCTCTACCACGGCAAACCAAACCATAAGAAACATGAAATCCTAGAAGCAAGTTACAACACATGCTACTGCATACACTGACAGACTCTTTCCAAACAGATTTTCCAGTTTCCAAAACTGCTGAGCATGTTATAAAACATTACACCTAAGGCAACATCCCAGACCAAAACGTTTACAAACTTAAAGAAAAGAAGGGAAGGATATACAGCTTTAAAAAATACTCTTTTTGCTATTGTGGTAAATACTTAAGTGTAGATGCCAACATTTTATATTATATAGGTATATATTCATGCTGGTCAGGAATCCTAAAAAATGAGGGTTGAAGGGACCTCGGGAGGTCACATCCAGTCCAACCCCCTGCTCCAAGCAGGACCAGCCCCAGCCCCAGCTATATCATCCCAGCCAAGGCTATGTTGAGCCAGGTCTTGAAAACCTCCAAGGATATTATAAATACAAAGAGGAATCCAACATCATCACATATTTCCTAAAATAATTACAAATACTTCAAATATTTTTATGCAGAGGTTAGATCATGAACTGTGTTGATTAGGGATGATTCTGCCTCAGGCAGGGGGTCGGACTAGACTTCTGGACCTCCCTTCCAGCCCCACTCCCCTATGATTTGATTGAAGTCCCCCACCCCAATTTTGGTTATAAATGATGGCTCATACAGAGACATGATGACAGAATAAACTCCAAACTTTAATGTTTTCTCCTGGGGACAGTTTAGCCCTCAGATGGATACAGGATCTGTAAAGAAACCAAATGAGAGAGAAAGAATACAAGAAATCACTACTGCTGAAGTGCACCATTAACCCTAAACTCCAGCGTTACACCCATAGGGATGCATCTATGAAACAGGGTGATCCGTCTAATACGTTGAATCCTATGCCGATGCCCCCTAAAAACTAAAACTAAATAAATAAAGACGTCTCAGCGCTTACCTATAGATGACATGCTCCATCAGATCATACCAAACTAAGGGCAGGTCACTTCCCTCCCAGCATCCCTTTAAAAAGGATTATGGTACAATACTGAAATCAGTTTATTTCCACAAAGACAAACTTCTAAAGGAGCAGGAGCAGAGAATGAGTCCTTCACTCGTTGCACAGTACTTTCTACCCGCTTGTCACTAATTGAAAACAAGTATTGTACTGAAGTGTACGTGCTCCATGACATTTAAGGCTGGGGTCACCACCCGTTATGTTTTCAGGGGATGGTCTGGGTGCAAACACCTGTCCTGGGTGTCCTGAGGAGTTGGTGAAATGATGCTTTGGTCCTCTTTCCAGTGGGGTACCTGCAACAGCCGTTTGAAACGTGACTGTCCCCCGTGAAAACATAACTGCTTCCTCACCCACGGCCAAGGTCTCCAGCGTGATCGGCTGAGACCAGAGCTCAGAGACAGCCAAGTGTGTCGCAGAGCAGAGAAGAGGGCAGGGAATGGCATATCGGGTTTTGAGACAGGGGAATAGGGCCCCAGGGAAACGTGCTAAGGCCCCAGCAGTGTTTATTTGCACACAGCCATGTTTCCAAGTGCAAGATACCTCTTCCTTGCTCACTCCAGAGCACCCAGTCACCACTGCATCTCTCACACTCCTCAGCAGCCAGCTGCCATAATTTTGCAGGTGCCTGTGCTCATTGCACTGGTGCAGGCTGGGACTGACTGGATAAGCAGCAGCTCTGCAGAAAAGGACCTGGTGCCTGGTGGACAAGAAGATGGACAGGAGCCAGCAGTGTGCCCTTGGTGCCAAGAAGGCTACCGGCATCCTGGGCTGCATTGGTAGGAGCATTGCCAGCAGATGGAGGGCAGTGATTCTTCCCTTCTATTCAGCACTGTCTACTACACTTCAGCCTGAGCACTGGGTGGAGGCCTACTTAAAAAATGTCAGCATGCCCAGGGTTAACGGCAGCAGACACTGCCACTGCTGATACAGTGGGGCTCTGACCCTAGCTGCAGCAACTTGGTGCTCTTTAAGTGAGACTGAAAATACTCGTTCTGCAGCTCTTCCTCCTGGGCTCCCTCTTGCTTTACAGGTTTGGAAAGAGGGCTGGAAAATTCCAAGCAGCCCGATACGATCAGACCCTGTCCCTCCTTCACGGTAACAGCTGAAAGCAATGTTTTTTCACAATCTGTTTGACAAAAGACACCATTTCCTGGACACCCAATCATGTCGTGGAAGCTCAAGAATTTCAAAGAGATTTTAATGGGAAAGTTTCTCAGGTCAGGGATGTCAATCGTAAGAGAGACTTTTTAAAAAAATTTTTAAAGGACATTTTTTCATGTCAAATCAGCCAAATCAATTCCAAATCCATGAGACTTTCAAGAACCATTTGTGGTCCTGCTACCACAGGGGTGGGCAAAATACGGCCTAGGCCATTCTATCCGGTCCACAGGACCCCTAAAAAATTAAGAAAATTAATATTTATCTGCCCGTGGCTGCCTGTCATGCAGCCCTCGATGGCTTGCCAGAACTCAATAAATTGCCCTCCACCTAAAATAACTGCCCGCCCCTGTGCTACCGGCAAGCATCCTCCACCCTGCCTGGGGCTTCAGATGCTTTCAAATCCTTTGGCGGGCATCCTACACGTAGGCCCAAGCCCAGAGGCTTGGGGTTTGGATGCCCCTGAGTTTTGTTTGCCCTCAGCCCTATGGCTGCAGAAGCAAGCTAGGGAGGGGTCTCCCATTTCCAAGAAATCAGCGTATACCCGAAATCTTCCCATTGGAAGTGAAAGTGGGAGGCTAACGATGTATTACCTCGGTCAGGGCGCTACCCCCTGCCATGTTCATGGTTTTCCCCAGCCAGTAGGAAAACCACCTTGGTGGTCCTGGTATTTCCCCTGCCAGGTAAGTAAGAGAGACTCAGATAAAAAACCTGACAGGTAGGCATGAGAATAATTGCATCTCCGCTCCCCATCACAGGGCTGGGAAGGCGCATGTGGAAGAGCTGGTGCGACATGTTGTGGCGTCAGCATCCCTCGCAGCCCACACACGCGCTCAAATCTTCCCTTTCTCAACTGGGGTTCCTACTAATAGCAGGAGGGCGTCTGTGCAGAGAAGAGGTGTCCTGAGATCTGTCCTTCTGTTCGTTTCCTAGAGCAGTCACCGTCTTCAAGTGCACGTGGGGAGCAGGCGAGTCTCAGGCAGGCAGGCTCATGTGGCTGAAGCAGCAGAGTACGCCGGTCAAGGACTGCGGCAGCAGCAGGGGGAGGCTGCAATGAGGGAATATTGGGAGGAAACCCACCTGCCAAGCACATCCTGAGGCAACCAAGGGATCCAGTCCTCTACTGCCTTCCATAGCTGACATTGCACACCTCCAAGCCAAGCCGGATAGCAACGGGGTCCCGAGAGGCGATTTCTGCTGGGCAAACAATGCATCGGCAGCAAGGTCAGGATGGGAGAGCACGGCACTTCACTCAGTCCAGCCAAGAGCCCAAAAGCCTAGGCTGCTCTCATGCAGAAGGGCTGCAACATGGTACAGGTCTTTCACCCCCTTCTTACCTCCACACCATCATATGTGATCCTCTGAATCCATAAGAGGCCACAGTGGGATATGGTCAGACCAAGGATCAGAAGGATCTCCCTGCACTGATGGGCAAACAGATCGCTCCCCGCCCCATCCTGAGCCTACAGGGCAATCAGTGAACAAGCAGAGCCTCCCACCCACTGCTCCGAGAGGCCAATCTCCGAGCTTGCTGGACGTTATTGAACGAGTCCCCAGCTATCACCCTGACTGAGGTTGGCAAGCCAGAGTAACTCTAGCAGGGTGCTCGTATGGTCTGGTAAAAGGCTGAAACACATACTGATGCCACCACGATTGTCACCTCAAAGTGCAAAACACTGATGCCAATCTTGGAGGACCTTGAATGCACCAGGCTGTCCAGGTCAGATCCCTGCTCTCCCCATCTCCCCCTCACACACCAGAGGCCTCCTCCCATGCTGCCAGGTCAAGGTCTAACAGGAGCACATGATCTCAGCTCCCTGGGCTTCTGCCCCTGCCCGCACCCATACCCCTTTCAATTAGCTACAGGGAGCAGCAGAACAGCCCAGCTCACGAGAAGAGCTGGTTCACGTGCGGGCAGCTTCAAAACTCAACCCCGTCATGGCTCGAACAAGGTGCTTCATTTGAGACGAAATAAAACGTTTCATTCTGAGCCTGCTTTTCTTCTGCAGAGACCTGAGGAGGGGTACTTGGCACCTTGTCTCTAATCCCTCCCAGTGATCCAGCTGGTCCAACACAAGATTTTACCCACAAAGATCCTTGCATCTTGCATTAAAATAAAATTGATGGAAACGCCTCACCAAGCAAACAACCCCTGAAATCTGTTTTCAATTTTGAGATGGCTGACGCAAAACTTTGTTATAAGTGATTTTTCTTTTGGTGGGAACCACCCAGCAACACCATAACCAACTTTTGTAAAGCTGTTTGGTGTCACCAAATCCAAAGGGAAAATAATTCCCGCAGAAAGGCACTGCCTCATTCGACTGCTGACGCACAGAGCTCGCAGTGCCAGACCAAGGGTACGAGGGAGCACCTTCAGACGCGTGGCACTGAACCTCCTGCCACCCCTTGGGCCCAACAGCTCTGTGGCCCATGACAAGGGTGACAGGGAACTCCAGCTGGAATCAAAGCCAGGAAAAGTGCTCTTCCACCACCCCACCTCTGGCAGCAGGTCCAGCCTTGATGGTCACAGACCTACAGATGCGTGACGCCCAACTGGAAGGCACTTACCAATGCGATGATGATGAGCCCAACAAACCCAGACAGTAATAATACCACTGCACCCATATCGTCCCTCACCAATCACAGGTTGATTGAAGCCCAGCACCCAAGTCCCCCTCCACCCTGCCTCCCCTTGAGTGATCTGACCCCCATCATACCTTCTCGCTCCATCAGAACTTCTCCCAGGGCTCTGCACGCGGCTCTCCTGACCTCCCAGGCACCCTCTAGCTGGCCCGGGCTGTAAACAGCTGCCTCCACCACCAGATCCTGGAAGTTGCTATCCAGCAAGCACTGCATCCTCCTCAGCACCCCTGCCGCCTGCTCTGGTTCCACTTGCTGATGCCGCAGGCCTGGCTGGATCAGCACCAGCACCAGCGCGGGAAAGAGGCTCCTCAAGTTCCCAAGTGTCTCATCCAGAAGTTCCCACTGCACAAGTTGCCTCAGGGTGGCAGCCTGCCACAGCATGAAAACCAGCTGCGGCCGCAGCTCCTGCTCTCGCTCCTTGCTGGCCTCGTCCTGGAGGAGCTCGGTCCCAAGGTCAGCCCTACTGAAGAGCTCCTGGGCAAAGGCAACCCGCACAGGTGAGACTCGCTCATGCGTGTCATCCATCTCCATCACTAACACCTGGCCCTTCCGCTGCCCAACAGCATCTAGCAGAGTGAGGAGCTCTCGGCCGGTGGGCTTGGCGGGGAGCACCTGCAGCAGTGACTCCATGGCTGGAACAGTAAGTTTGTTCTTGTTAACCCGAAGCATTGGGGGAGGGCAGCTGGGGACATTCACAGGGAGCTGTAATGGGTGTCAGCAGTGAATGCTCAGGGAGGAAGATCAAAACGGAAGTTGTCATGCAGACTGCCTTAAATGGATGCACTTCAGGTGTTACTGAACTGGTGTAATAGGGGAAGGGGGACAGGGACTTTCCACTCTCTGCACATCTTGGAAAAAGGGGGTACCACCTACCAGAACAACCAGGAGCAGAGGTTTGTTACACTGTCACATCACCGACAGAAGTCAGGACCTGATGTTCTCGTGATCAAATCGTAACGGGCAAAAGGACATCCCTTCAGCCTTATTAGGAGGTGCTCAAGTTTTTGGCTGGCTTAGCGATTTATATCCTACCTCACCTTGTCAGTGTTTATTTAACATCAAATCCGAGGCTCTCGATCTCGGCACTCTTCCTGGGGTCAGGGCTAGGGGTTGTGTAGGAGGGCAAGATTCTTTCTACCCATTTTAAAATTTCTCTTTCATTGTGTGTGCTGTGTTTTAGGCAACTGGGAAGTAAATTTTACTTTCTCTGCACCATTCAGCATCCTACACCTCCATGATTTCTTTTAATGTCTTGGAGAGCAGACATGTAACCAACTGCCCTGTTAGCACAGAGCATTTTTTGTTTTAAATACTGTGGCAATAACAAAAAGCCTTCAGTCCAAGGAATTAGTGTGCAAGCTGGGTGTTGGAGGCACTGTGCTACCCTGCCTGTGCAGGAAAGACTATGCAAAATACTGCCCCCATAACAGGAACAGTCTTCACATGGCTTTGAGGCAGAGAACCTGCATCACTTCTTTCACAGCAGAGGAATAATACCACGTGCACCTAAGTAACACTCCTCAGCTGCCAAGCCCAGACACAGCTTACACTTGCAATGAATACTGCAAGTCTACTCTCAGGAAGGAAGCCTCCCTGTTCACGGCTATGGAATCAGAGGACCATGCTCATTATGTGCAAAGATGTTAAAACTCTGAATATCGGTGTGTGGTCAAACAGATTTTTAGGTTAGACATTTATCAAGGTAAATTCTGAACTGGGCGGCTTACCTGTGTCACCATCTAAGGAGGAAAGTTTTTCCCAATGGCCTTGCAATGAAACAATTTGTAGCAGGTGAAAGAGCCAGTCAACTGTCTGTTGATTGGCCAAGTTACCTTTGATGTCACAATCCCATTCCTTCCCCTCTGACTTATCTATGCTGGGGGCACCTGGAAGCCCCATCGCAGATTGGAGTCCTGCAGTGAAAGGCTCTTTGGAGACGACTCCTGCGCAAACTGCTTACAAGCCACTCCCTAGCTCTGTCTCTTTGGGTTTAACATTCCCAACTTAAAGGCAGGACATTAAGAAGGAAAGTAACATTGTGGTACATGTGCAGGTATATTTAAATTAGAGCCTTTTCTCAAAGGCAAAGCGGGAATGGAAAAAAAATCATCAAGATGAGGCTCCAGTTTTATCCATCACAAGGTTTTATAAGTGATGAAAATGGAGTGTTTTCAAGCAGCTCATTGTGTAGCTGAGCTGTACTTAATGACTGTACTAAGACACCACTGCAGTTTAGAAGAGAACCAGACAGATGCGTATCTGCCAAAACTCAAAATCAGACCTCTGCACGTTCCCTGGTAACTACAACCCGCCCTAACAGACCTGTACAAACTGCGCTGGTTTTGTGTTAATAAAAATTAAATAGTGAAAGAGAACAAGCTTTACATTCTCTCTCAAGATTTAAAACATTTATGGCAAATTGCTCAGATACCAGGATGGGTAATGTAATTTAATTATTTTCTTTTAGCTTTTCTGCCCCAGTAATCAACCCAGCTCTCCTTTCATCATTTGCTAGGTCATTGTCCCAGGCTGTGGATTAGACAGCAGGGTTTTACAAGTATGACAGTGAGCAATAACCCCCAGAATCGAGTGACAAGAAATACTAAGAACAAAATGTACAAAAATGGAACAGACTCTACATTTTATTCTCAATAAAAATTTAGATCCTTGATGGATACAGCATCTGCAAAGAAATTTAAAAAAACGAGTTAGAGATTTTATTAAAATTTTACAGTTTAATACCAACATTTCCAAATAGTTAGAATACCCATGCAGAGAAATTATAAAAGACAAGCGGCCAATCTGCACAATACAAGGAGAAGAGCAACGGCAGAAGAACTCAGAACCTGGCTCTGACTCTGGGAAAAGTTCCTTGCAGGAGCTGCCCAACGCAACTTCCAACTTTGGTGGAGGGACACACAGACTGCAGCTGAACAAAGAGAGCCGTTGGGAGGACCTGCACCCATGCTGCTCCCACAGCTTGTTCTATATGGCCTAGAATAGAAGCAAGGTAGGACTACATAGGACTCCGATTTTACTCCCAACAATACACTACGGTGACAGCACGTACAGGAACAAAAGTCTGATTGGTGTTCCCAGATGCCCAAAGAGGAGGGTATCTTAAGGGGCTATGGAGAAGAGCATACCAGAGTTCTGGATGGGGGCAACAACAACGGACTTTAGAAGCATCAACCTGAAAGGCTGATATAAGGGCACTGGAGGCAGCAAGAGACCCCAGAATACCTCCCCTAATGGAAGGAAAGGAAGAAGGGAACAGAAGAAAAACTAAGGAGCAAAAGGAAGGAGAGTGTAAGAGATGTACAGGCAACCCTCACTTAGCACTCTTAACTGGTTCCTGAAAAAACGAGTGTTAAGTGAAACGAGCATTAAGCGAAACCAAAAGTATTTGACAACCCAAGATGGCAGCCGCAAGTGTTATAATGAAGCTTGCTGAGCGCTAAGTGGAATTAGGTATCAATTTAAAATGAGCGTTATAGTGAAATAGTGCTAAGTGAAACAGCGTTAAGCAGGGGGTGCCTGTACAAAGACTGAGACAAGACGACAAAAGTAAATGCTTTTAGAGGGCGATTGCCAAGGACTCAGCCATATGTGACTTCCCACTATCCGGAGCAGGATGTGGGACACTACAGCAAAATCAAATGTTTCAATGCTCAAATGTGGTGTTATTGAGGGGCTTCCAATTCCCAAGCCCTGCAACTATCACAGGAAGGCATTGTAGAGTCTCCTAAGGAACGGGTCAAACACTTGGGACAGAACCTACCAGTGCAGAGCTGAAAGTGGCTAGGCAGGTCACGACGGGATTCGCTGTACTTACCACTCTGATTCTGTGACCAATGGCCTTGGCTGGAAGGTTGGAGCGGAACTTTGCACGAACCATGCCACTGTTTCCATGGGCACGGGTCACCTTCCCCCAGATGACTCGTGTTCTGTTGGGCTTGCCACCAGGAGTTACGGTGTTGCTAGCAGGGAGAAAGGGAATGTTAACTTCTGGGCATGACACTCCTAGCACAGTCCTGGCTCAGTTAAGGCGACAGCAGCAGATGAGCAGTTTCCCTTCCTGTATTTTTAGGACTGCCCTGGAACATCCAGGCTGGAAGCCACTTGTAGATGTAAGGGGACTGGTCACCTGTACTGCGAACAGCTTGGACGCAAGCACAGAGAAATGCTATACATAAAGAAAACGTATGGTGCTCTCACGTTACAGCAGTATTGTGATTCCTAGATTAGAAATATAGCAGAGGAGTGCTTATTATCTTGCATTTACACTGCGTACATTGCATGCACCACCGAGACGTGAGAAAATCAGAAGCACTGCTTTAAGCAGCAGTTCTGTATCTGGCTTATATACATTTAGAAATTCATAGAATTAAATCAAACTAAGAAGATATGAAAAGGTCCCAACCTTGGTCGTTTAAATGAGTCCAGGAGCTGCACCAATTTAATTTGACATATTTAAACAAGCAAACTAAGCTAAACCTGAACAAGTTACGTGTAAACCGCCTCAACCTGGGATTTGCCCATATATACCATCCCTCTCATTTCAACCTGAACACTAGCAAGCACTTCAAATAATGAGATAAGCCTGCTGCCTGGATGTTTGAGAAGGTCCGGCATAGACCAGAGGCTGTTATTATAATCATGCAAACTGTACACACATGTACCTGACAGCACACTTATTTGTATAACTTCAGAAGCTTACAAATGAGAACTAAGACTTGCTTAACATAGAATAAATAACATTTGAGAACGTGCCAAGTACAAATAATGAAGTCTCAATGCTGTCACGTGAAATTTGGAAAGACGGTATATTCTCTCCTCAATATGAAACAACCTGTAACTTGACTTCAGGTGATGTACATTATCTACAGCACTAGGACCGCAGCACAGTTAAGAGCCAAATGTAAAAGTAGGCAGACTTCAAGGAATGTAATAAGATCACACCCAGGCCACTCTAAAGTAAAACGAAAACCTTCATTACAGCTGAACCAACCTCCTAGTAAGGGTTTGATAACAAAGATACGCTTTTACTATGTATGCCTGGAAAGTCAAAAGACAGAAGGTTTTTCCCTTTGAAATCGCTCTGCTGTCCTGTCCTGGCCCGCACATACTTATCAAGAGGCTGCCTGTGTGAGTACCCCCAGGGATTTCAGTTGCACAGAAAAACCACAAAGGACTCCAAATCCAGAGCAGAACGTGCCAAATCAGCACCTTGAAACAGTGGAAAAGGGAGCAGCCATTAAAGCGCAGGTGAACCCCGTCTGAAATGCCATGAACAGGAAGTCCCCTTCCACATTACCTGGCCCTGCAGCAAAGCGGTCTGCAGCAAGGCCCACAGCAGTAAAGTCACAACTTCCAGGTAAGCAGAGAAGGGAATAAAACACACACCTACCCTACACTCCACAGCACCCATCACATTCAGTAGGGGCAGCGGTGGGGAAATGTGTGCGTGTGTCTAGAAACAGCCCAGGAACTTAACCCCTTTAAGATTACAACCCAGACCTTCCTGTTAATTCTGCCATAAGAGACCAAACACCACGATGACAGACACTTCAGTCCAGTTCATCACTGAATGCACACAGCACACACCAGCATCTTGGAGAAGATGCAGGCCCATCCATTACTTTTCCCCTTAGTCCTCTATCACAACAGCGATGAAACCAATTAACACATTGTAGAACTGAACATATTTGTTGCATAGACGTTCTAAAGTGAAAAAAATCACATACTGAAATTGAGATGACCCACATACAAATCTACGTGGCCACTTTATTTGCTTGTGACCCAATAAATTTTCCTGTCAAACTCGGCATCACTATTTAACACGACAGTCAGAAGCTAATTTACTTACTTTTTAGCTTTGTACACATACGCGCATCTCTTGCCCAAGTAGAATTCAGTCTCTTGGCGAGCGTAAACGCCTTCAATTTTCAGAAGGGCCGTGTGCTCCCTCTGGTTTCGAAGGCCTCGCTTATAGCCAGCAAAAATGGCCTTGGACCACAGTCTAAGAAACAGCAAGCATGTTAATGAACTGAAAACCAACAGCAAGCAACCCGGATTTCTGAATAAGCTATTTCTGAAGGGACTACATGCATGCTGGGAACAAGAAATAGTGCTTTATGTCACAAGGAAGTAAATACACCAGCATTCGCAATTAGGGGTGAATAAGGAAGCTTCCACAGCAAGAGACGTTTATAAACAGCTCTCCTTCTCTCCATTAGAAACCTCCTTTTTTCCTCTCATGATTATCACTAAAAAGAGGATAACACTAAGAAGCAATTTGCTTTTTTTTAAAAGTTCTTTATACACACACATTTCAAATGTCCAGAAAATAGATTCTATCACTTCACTGCATACATGATAATGCAGATTAATTGATTTTGGATCTTTGCTACAGTAACCAACTCTGTAATAAGAGGTGTAGCAAAAAAGTGCTGTATTGAAATGATTTTTTGCAGTCTGTATGGGGAAATGCAAGTCTGTTCCATGTGGACAGTGCAGGACTCCAGCACAATTCAGGACACTTGAAACCAACAGCTAGAGTCCTAGAACTGTGCTTAATTGTATCAGAACAAATATCCTATAAAGCTTTCTTAGCATGGGTACTATTATAAGGTAAATCCTTTTGGACAACAGATTTAAAATGTCACCAGTATTTTCACAAGACAGATCCTTTTGTTCAAGATTTAAATCTGTAACTAACAGGGTAGATCTGATTTAAATCAAATGGATTTAAATAATGATTTAAATCACTGGCCAGGAAGCCTCAGTTTAATCACTGATTTCTACAAGAAGTGCACAGTTGTTGTTTGATATCCTTTATTCATTTAACTTCTTGAAACTTTCCATTTTTAGGGAGAGGTAAGGGCTTGACTGTGCATACCCAAACTTGAAGAGAGACAATAGGGCTGATGGGCGAGTAATCAGTAGTGGTGCGCGGATATATCTGTCTGTATTGGATCAGCACCGATAAAAGGAAAATTGACATTATTGGCAATCAGCTTTTTTTGGCTGGTGTAGCCAGCAACATCACTGATAAATGCCACATGCATGTGCACAGCTGCACCATGCACACAGCCAGGAATGCAGCCCCGCAGCTTGGAGAGCAATGTCCTGCTGGTAAGTCTGTGTGGGGGGCAGACTGAGGCCCCCATAGTGAGAGAGACTGGGGTAGGTGATACCCAGCCGGGCTGAAGCATGGGACAGAGCTGTGGGTGGCTCTACAGGGGGGCATGGGAGGATGGGCAGCTCCCCACTGCTGCACACTCCGGGGGAGGCAAGGGGGGTATGAGGCCCCCACCGGATTTGTGCATGGGGTGAGGGCGAGCTGCCTGCTGTGGGCTCAGGGGCTGTACCAGCTTCTTCCCAGGGGTGGGGGGACTATGGCCACCCCAAAAATTCACCCTAGACCCCCACTCTCAGAACTGCCACTACCCACCTCAAGAGCAGCCCTGGC